AAGCGAGGACATTTAAATTAAGAGATCTGCCAGGAAATTTTCAGTCTGAATGAAAATTAACAAGTTTTTCATTCTGTAAATGACAGGTCCCAGGGTAACTGGCTGACAAGACTCTAGCCCTCCCACCACAACGACACTCCTGATGTATTTAGCCCCAAATACCTGCCACATGTAGGCAGGCAGGCCCTGCTTCTGCCCCAAGGCCCTGAAACCAGGAAGCTAATGGTATGTCTGCTCTACAGTGTCTGCCTTTCTGACTCAACTTCCTGACGGCAGCTTACTGTTATGTGCCATGGAGTCAGAATTAACTCATTGCTGATCCTCTAGTGGGTTTTCAGAGGCAGTAAATCACACTGGAGGAGAATGCCCATCTTTCTCCTGTAGAGCAGCTGATGGATTAGAACTACATGCTTTTGGGTTGGCAGTGCAGCTCCTGACCCACTAGGCTACCAGAGTTCCCTGAGCAGAGCATGAGGCTGTGCTTGTGAGCTGGGCCTAATAGCAGACAATGTTCACAAACACCAGATTTTTTAGTAGATCAGGAATAGGAAGACCGCACACAGGGCAGGCAGAAAATCCCTCACTGTCACTTGAAGGACATTCCTAAAAGCATGCCTATGGGTCTCCCCGCCTCCACCTTGAGCTGAGGACCAGAGCACCAGAGCACTTGGTCAGCTTATTATGATCCACAGTCCTGCAGGCCACTATGCCATGAGTACAGACTTTGCCCAGCAGCCAAGACCGTGAGTTATTAAAAAGGCCACTTCAAGGCCTGAATGGAGGAAGCCAGAATTATGACATCACCTGGAACAGCATTTTATCAGGAAGTAAACAATGTCCTTCTCCTTTTTCGAGTCACTTTCTCCTTTCTAAATATTCTCTTTTTTTGTTTTTAACCATGTGCATGACCAAGCTTTGTTTATATCTTATCAGAAAAAAACAAACATTACCCGCTACCTCGGGCCAGGAAGCAGAGGTAGCCCAGGACTAGCTGAATGCTCCTTCTCAGCAAAGAACACCCCAGGTGGACATAAACAGGAATGTGGCTGACACCTGGCTCATAATGGCCAGCAGTAGCCTTCCAGCATGCTGAGTGGGGAGCCCTCCCCATGGATAAAATCCCACAGTATACTGGAGTCCCTGGGAACCTAATGCCGGCTAGATGTGAGTGCGTGGCCCAAAGAGACAGGTTGTGGGGTTACAGAGCTGGATGCTTCTTTCTGATCCCAGGAGTCTGCCACCCTCTCTTAAACAACTGTCCCTTCTAGTGACATCAAGCATGGTAGGAAGACTATGGGGCGGGGGACCTGGGAGACAGCCAAGTGTTCAGTGGCCTCTCTTGCCCTTCTCTCTGGGACCCTTATTCAGGCACAACAGTAGGAACTGTAGGGACCTTTCCCTTAGGCTGATTACAACCTAAGCAGACCTGCAAAGGTGAGCAGAGCCCAGACCTACTGCAGCTAGATAAGAGACCTGGTGCCTTCTACCAGCTTGAGGGCCCACTGGTCACTCACAACCCAGCCCTTGATGACAGGACTATCTGGGCATGACCAAGCTCAAGTTGGAAGGCAAAGGAACAAGAGAAGAAAGAAGCCTCCAGCCCTCTCCAGCCTTTGAATTGACCTGGACTTCTTTTTACGGATAGTGTGCTGAGTGAGACAAGCTGAAAAGACAAAGGTGAAATTGCATGTCAATGCTGACCTACCAAAAAACCAAGACCAGTAACCCCTGTGTTCTCAATCCACGTCTCTGCGGACCACAGTGCAGGCAAGTGCCTCTCCTACCTCCAGCACCGGGACTCGGCACGGAATCCCTGGACATTGTTGTCCCCTCCGATCAAGTACACAAAGTTGTTCAGAACTGCAATCCCTTGGTTGGACATCCGGGGTGCCAGGGAGGCCGTGAAGTGCTTCCACTCCCCGAGCAGAGGGTTCAGGTATTTGGCTTGGTCACTGAGGACTGTCGAGGGTGTGGAGTGGATACCCCCGAAGCCTACCACGCACTGGATGTCCGACCGCAGCTCTGTGTGCGGGCTCTGCAGACTGGGCTGCAGGCTTTCATTCCGGTGGTACAGGAGAGCACTGGCCACCGTGTCTCGCAGAGGGCTTGGGTCAAGCTTGTCATGGAGCCGCTGCAGAACCTCGGGCTCCATCAGTGGAAACCGCACGGTCTCAAGGAGTTTCGGGGGCTCGTGCATGGAGATCTGGTTGGCCTGTACCTGCTCCTCGGTATAGTGGTACAGCAAAGCACCCTCGTATACCTCGGTCTCACAGGACACCTCCAGGCGGTTGCTACTGAGAAGCGAATAGACCTTCTCCAGGGGAAGCTGGCGGTATTTGTCAGTCCGGGAGAAGGCCACAAAGTTTTTGAGGATGTACGTGTCCAGCTGTTCTGTCAGACGGCTCAAGTCAAAGAGCTCCGCAAGACGGTAGACGTCAAGGATATTCTCTTCGTCCACCCAGGACATGAGGAAGTCACAGCAGAAATGGATGATTTCTGGGATCTGTGGGAACAGAAGAGGACACGCTTTCAAGCCTGTGCTGGGGAAGTGCCACCTGGGGGTGGGGACAGACAATGACAGAGACATAGCTCGTATGATGATCCACTGCAGCTGTCTGCAGGTTGAGAATAGAGTCAAATGCCCTCCTCAGTCTGTGACCAACATTTCCTAATTCAAATACATGGTGCCACCACTCTCCTCAGACAAACTAAGTAAAGGGCTTACTGTCAGCCCAAGTGGGCTTAAATCCTGGTTCACTTTTAGAAAGTGTATTCTTAAACTTCCTAAACCCCAGCTAGCTAATCTGTGAAAAGGAGACAATTAAATGTGGAGAGAGACAAATTAAGAATGAGATAATGTACAGGAAATGTCTGGCACATGGTCAGAACTGTAATGCACATGTTATTTGTCTTTTAGGGGGAAAAATTATTAGCACAGCAGAGGTGCAGGTACCACCAAGTTGGCACCACATATTAGGAAGAGACCTGGGACTCCCCAGTGCTCTTGAGGAAAGTCTGCTTCCCTAAATGTGTGGGAGTCAAAAGCACACTCCACCCTTTTCTTCTGCCAGCACACCCGTGACCTGGGGCTGAAGCTAAGTGGCAGGCAGCAGGCTAGCCCCTCTGCATATGTTCTCCATGCTCTGTTCAGATCCCACCCTGGGATCAGATTCTAGATCCTGAAAGCTGGTAAAGAGCCTGAGGGGTCCCATGTGCTCTGCAGCCTCCCTTTCATGGCCATATCAAGAATTAGTGAGGAAGAGGGAAAGACAGAGTATGATATTCTGGTTGAGGGGGTTATAATAAGGCCACAGAGCTCCAACAACTGTTAACAGATACCTTGTGTACCTCAGAAGAAAAGTTTGGTAACTACTTCTGAAGAGTCAGAAATGATCTCCTAAAAGCCCTACAGGACACATTCCAGCTCAGGCACACGTGGGGTACTCCAAGTCAGCCCCACTCGATAGCCACGTGTTAGAACTCTTTGACCAAAGTACAGAGGAATGGAAAGTTGCCCAGGAAGACTGTCCAGTGCAACTCACCAGGTTTTCACAAACTCTCTAGGTACAAAGGATTTTAGCATTTCTCTTAAAGTGGGAACACCTCACCTATACCATTAACAAATTAATTCTTGTACAAAGAATTACTGTGCTGATGTTTGAAGCTTGTAAGTAAATGTTTAAAATCAACTTCACTTGAAGTCAAAAGAATTTCTTGCTTTCCAAGAAGAAAAGTGAGTGGTAAGAGGGAAGGCAGTCGCAGGGTAGAAGATCTGGTATCCACACGCATGGTGATAGGAAACAAAGGAGGATTGCAAGCTGAGAAACACGGCCTCAGTCTAAAATGAGGTCAGAGATTGTATGATCAAATTTTTATAGAATCAATGATTTGCTCACCACAATTATCTTGTTTAAAAAGAAAAATGGCTACTTGCCTGATGGAAAATACAGACATCAAAATGACTCGATCTGTGGCAGGAGATGGTGGAAAAGCTCAGTATAATCAGTAAGGACAAGGCTAGTGGCTGACTCTTAATGCAAGTTTAAAATGAAGCTGAAGAAAATGAAATCTAAAATATATGACTTGTGAGTGTAGCCCACTTAAATTTAGAAACCATCTCAAGAACAGATTTAATGCACTGAACACCAGTGACAGAAGACCAGAGGAGCTGTGGGATGACATCAAGAACATTTATTCATGAAAAAAGAGAGGCATTAAAAAAACAAGAAAACAAAAATAAACAACACAGAGAAAAATAAACAAGAACACACTGATGTCAGGAGAGGCTCTGAAGCTTGCTCCTGAATCTAGAGAATCTAAAGGAAAAGGAGGAAATGATTAAATAAGAGAGCTGAACAGATCATTTCAAAGGGCAGTGCCGTAAGAAAAAGCAAAGTAGCATAACAAAATGTGCAAAGACCTAAAGTTAGAAAACCAAAAGGAGAAAAATCACACTTGGCATTTCTCATTCCTCAACCTGAAAAGTTAATTTTTAAAAAAAAATCTACTAAGCTGCAATATTGAAGGATTCTATTGGAAAAATATTGAAAGACACAAGGAGTATTAAAAAAGATTGAAGGGGGGAGCTCTGGTGGCCTAGTGGCAAGAAGCTGCACTGCAATCCCAGAGGAGCACGGTTCGAATCCGGGAAAGGAGGGACAACCTCCTCCTGTACCAGTCAGATCTGATTTGACGGTACATGCACACGTACAAATAATAATTAAAAAAAACAAAACTTGCATTATGCAAGTAACAAAACTTTGAAAAAAAAAAGATTGAAGGAACAAAGTCACTGCTTCAAAAAGAATGAGTTGACAGTCAAGCATTTTAGTAAGCAGCATGTGATCAAAAACCAATAAAGAGCGAAGGAAGTCAAAGCTGCAGAGAAATCAATGGCCAAGGAGCAGGAGCCAGTGAAAGCAGTAAATAGAGGGGGACATGCTGAAAGGCAGAGGGCCAGCAAAGGACCCAAAAGCAGTGGTGGCAGGAGAGTAACGAGAGAAAGCCCTAGATAGCACAGATAATTTAGGGCTGAACTAGGCAAAAGGCTGAGGTTCAAATTCACCCCAGTGTGCCTCTAAAGAACACTGGCTGATCTACTTCCGAATAGTAAGCACCGGAACCCCGTGGAACACAGTTCTCTAACAGAGAACTAACTTAGCTAACTGGCTTAGCTTCGGGATCAGGGATAGAGAGGCACCCGAATAAAGAATGTGAGAAATTCTCCCACTGGAAAGGACATATGGGTTTAAATGTCATCAAAACATGGAGAGTACAGCCCTATCCTACAGCCATGGACCAAGCCTCTCCATGCCAACCTGACAAAGATGGGGCAAGGGTGGCTGCTGCAGTCTAGCCATGTGCAATGAGGTCTCCACGGGTCACTGACAACAGGTTTTCTGAGGACTCAAGATTCTGCTAATTGCCAATATGGTGCAACAGTTGCAGCTATATGGCATTTCTAGCATGGTTTTAGAACTCCCACCAAAAGACTGATGAGACTATGAAAATGAGACGTCTATGGTCCATTGACTGTTTTCTAATAATATTTTTAAAAAGAGTGCATAATACCCTTGTTAAGTACTTTTTCATGTATGTACATGAAGGCAATTACAGAAAACAGTAATTTGATCAGTCCTGTTCACAGACGGTGACTACAGTGAGCTCCCATCCTGCAGGTGCTGTAGAAAGGGATATGGGTGAAATCCTCAATCCATCCAATCTTCATTTCTGAACAGTCAAGGGCTCTGAGGACAGAATGGATCCCTCGTCCAGGGCAGAATGGATCCCTGGTCCAGGGGTCTTAATTCAAGTTCGTCCTGTAGCATGGATTGTAATGTGTTAAGCAGTGATGTCCAGCTCCTTGCACCTCTGTATATGGCAGCATAAGGTGAGGATTAATCTCGGTCAACCTTCACCCTCATACTACCATGGCAGGTGGTCTCCTTGCCAGAGAGATCAGGGACATGAACAAAAGTGTCACTGAAGAATGCAAAAATGTGACAGACACGAAAGACATTCTCTCCAAGGCTGGTGACATGCTCTTCCTTCTTTTCCTTCTCCTTATGAGGTGCAATGTCTACACATCATCTCCAGACGATACCACTGGAAAGCTGTTGTTAAGTACTATCGCGTCAACTACAACTCAAACCAACCCTATGAACAACAGCTTTAAACCCTGCCCTATCCTCAGCCAACCTCAAAATCTCTGCTGTGTTCAAGCTCATTGTTACAGTCACTGTGTCAACCCATCTGATTAAGGCTCTTCCTCTTTTACTGATCCTCCACCTTTCCAAGCATAATGTCTTCTTTCAAGGACTGGTTCCACTTGACAACATGCCCAAAATAAGATAATAAATTTCACCATCCTGGCCTCTAAGAGTAATCTGGTCACACTTTCTCCAAGACAGAGTGGTTTGTTTTTTTAGCAGCCCATAGGACACTCAATATTCTTTGCCAACACTGCAATTCAAAACCATCAATTCCCTGGTATTCCTTATTCACTGCCCAATTTTCAGATTTAGAGGAATAAATGGATCCATGGCTTGAAACAGGTATATATTACTCTTTGAACTGATATTCTTACTCTTGAACACTCTAAGAAGTCCTTGAGAACAGATTTTCCCAGTGCAACAAACTCATCGTCTGATTTTTTTTGACTACTGCTACCATCAGAGTTGATTGTGAATCCAAGTAAAATTAAATCCTTGACAATGTCAAACTTTTCTCCATTATGCTGTTGCCTACTGGTCTGCGGGTAAGTATTTTCATTTTCTTGATGTTGAGAAAGAAGGCTGGAGTCTTTCATCTGCTGCAGTAATGCTTCAAATCATCTTCAGATTTGGCATAAAGATTGCATCACTTGAGTAATGCAGGTTGCTGATAAGTCTTCCTCCAATCATGATGCTACATTTTTCTTCATACAGACTGACTTCAGTGTTCCCTTTTTCTGTTTGGACAACTATTGCTCTGGAGGGTCAATATATAGGTTTTATGTCAGCACAATTAAGTGTTCTGGGATTTCCATTCTTCTCAATGTTAGTTACAATTTATTATGATCCACACAGTCAAATCCTTCACATTTTTTTGGAGTTGTTACTGTGTGCTGTTGAGTCGGTACCAACATATAACGGACTCTCCAGTGGTTTTCAGGGGCAGTAAATCATTGCAGGAGAGAAGATAAATCATTGCATGGAAGAAGATTGCCCATCATTGTCACATGAAGCAGTTGGTTGATTTAAACCACTTGCCTTTTGAGACTGCAGCAGTTTCTTATCACTAGGCCACTAGCGTTCCCATGCAAATGGAATCATGCAAATAAGATGTATGAGACTCTAAAGAGGGGATTGGTCAGTCTTAGCATCTCAGTAAGCTTAAAATGAGCCATTCCAGAGAAGGCTTACCACTGCCAAGAAGGTACAGTGTAAACACATCCTGTGCTAGGAACTCCCTAAATTCAGAAGATAGGGAAAGTGGACTATAACACTAGAGATGGCATGAGATCGTGAAACATGGTGGCAGAGAAACAGTAACAGCAGAACCAGGAGGCCAGCATGAGATGGCACAGTGGGCTCCTCAGCTCAGGTACAAGGTTTCCTGAGGAGGATGAGGGGCCACTGGCAGGACGAAAGCACTTGGTAGCACTTACTGGAACAAGGAAGTGGCCAGGCCAAGGGATCAAGAGCACAAGAGAGGCCTGCCCACAAGCACAGCTGAGAAAGAGGCTGTCCTGCTTGAAGAACTGTATCCTGATGCCAAATTATCACCTGTTACCGCTTAAAATCCCACAAAATCACGTATGTTGACGGAGTTTGGTGCAGCCACTGCAGTGAAGTACTGAGCCTAGCAGAGTGCTGGGGAAGGGATGGCTGGAGTGAGAATCTTAAAAAAAGGTTGAAGAGGGGAGGTATGTTGAACAAGTGCTTTGCAATCAGCCTTGGGCTGATGAATTTTCTCCCTCTTTGTGAGATCAGACAAGGAGTTGGATGCCTTCACCTTTCAGCAACCTCGATGCACTCCGACCTAATAAAAAGGCTCAGAATGATGAACACATTTTAAGAGAGATAGAAAAAGAGGCCACTTGACTGGCAGCCCCTAAAATAAGGGCAGCTGTGGGCTGGGCAACCACGCAAACACCACTAAGATCCAACAGAAACTCCCAACAAGTAAACTGCTCCACCAGATGCTCAGAAAACTCTCTCAACTATGAAGGAAAAGAAAAGCACACAAAGCTCTCAAGAAAAAGTCATTCTAGAGGTCAAGCATGCAAGACAGAGAGGCCCACGCAGCAATGGCTAGGACAGTGCTACAATGCAAGGACCCGGGACACACAGGATGCCTGCCACCTCTGAGGCTACCAGATGGCACACCTTTCTCTGTACAATCTTCTCAGTGGTAAAGACCCAGGAACAATGGGAAAGGCAAAAACATAATCAGAGGGGAATGGATGGCAGATTAGGAGTCAAAGCAAAGATACCTGGGTGGTTTTCATCCTTATGGCCGGTGGAACACAGACACACACCCACACACCACACATCCACCCCTCTACCCTACCCCTGCTGGTAACTAGCCTTCTCCCTAAACTGCCTTAATGTGCTTGGTCTCTGTGCTGGTTCAGCATCCTTCCCCTCCTCTCTGGTCCTTCTCACACCAATGCCACCACTTGGAGGAGGCTTCCCAAATCTCACCTGGGGTGCAGCTTACCTGAAGCTGGCAGGCAGCCACCAGTGTCTCCTGCACGTTGTTGAGGCTGAGCTCGAGCTCCGAGGTGTATATGAAATGCAGTATCTGGCACATGGCGTTGTAGGACACACCATGGATGAGCACCTCCTCCTGCTCCATCTCCTTCAGTCCCCCAGCAAACATGCCTCTACAGAGCAGAAAGAAGGCATCCTGAGTTACTATGGACAGAGGCCTAGGCTGCAGGGAGAGCATGCATAGAAGAGGGAACTTGACATTGGGTTCAGGAGGAATGAACGGGCGCAGGTGCAGAAACACTACATGAGTGCTCTCTGTCTAAGCAAGGTTTCAGCAGACACAGTCACACAAGGAACGGCACTTGGCGCATGCCAGGAGGGCAATAAAGTCTCAAGAGGACAGGGGCCACATCCAGTCTGCCTTATGCTCCTGAGGAAGGTGCTAGCTCAGCCACTGAGAAGAGGTGAAAACTTACCAGGAATGAGACAGAAAATATTGTAATATATTTAAGAGATTATTCATTTGCTTGTTTTAAGGATGGTCTAGACGATTTGCCTATTTACTATTATACTCTAATACCAATTCAATGAATTTGTTGCCCTTTTCTGGATACAAAGAACTTTTTCCTTATTTTTTTTTTTAATTTCACACATTTTCTACTGAGAAGTAATGCTGTCAGTCTAGAAATTAAGGTGTGCCTAATCCAGGCCATGGTCTTCGTAATTACTTGCTATACATCAGAGAGCTGGACAATCATTAAGGATGAAAGAAGAATTATTGATACCTTTGAGTGGTGGTGCTGGAGAAGATTCTTGAACATACTATGGTACACAAAGAAAACAAATAGGTCTGTCTTTGAGAGGGTGAAACCATGTTTCTCCTTAGAGGCTAGGATTTTGAAGCTCCATCTCACATATATTCCTTGCATGTAGCCAGGAAGGACCAGTCCTTGGAAAAGGACATCCTGCTCAGAAGGGTGGAGGGATAGCACAGGAAAGGAAGACCCCACATGAGATGGATTGATACAGTAACTGGGGCAGTGGGGGAGGTCGGAATTAGTGAGACTGGCTCATGACAGGGTAGGGTTCAGAGTTGCTGTACATAGGGTCACTATGGGTTGCAAGTGACTCGACAGCACATTAACAACAACAATCTATTTTATTGAGATATCAATCTCATCACACATGGTCCAAGAATACACAAATAGTAAATGAAGTATAATCAGATGTGTTCAAACATCATAGTCAATGATGCCACCATGGCCTATGATCTCGCTGATACAAAACCACATCCACAAGGGAGCTCAGTGGCCTAGGGGCAAGAAGCTGCACTGCAATCCCAGAGGCATGCAGTTCAAATCCACCAGATGCTCTGCTGGAAAAGGAGAGACAATCTCCTCCTGTATCAGTCAGATCTGATTTGACAGTACACGCACACAAAATAAAAAAATAAAAATTTTTAAAAAAACCAAAACCAACACATCCACACCTCAGTGACGACCGTTTAAACTGTTCAGCAGAGCTTACCTGTGAGCTGTTTGAAGTGACCAGTTTGAACACTAATGATTATTTTTTTCAGGCTCTGAATAGCTGTAGGGATCTCAGCAGGGATTGGAGGAACTAGCTCTATCTTGGCACAGAGCCAATATATGGCCAATTGAGGCTTCAAGGAAGTCATAACAGTGTTCACCATTGTTGTTGCCTTTTCCACCGGGTTACAGACAAATTTGGCCCTAGTTTTAGAATCCCAAGCCCAATGCCTTGTTTAATTTTTGATTGTAGATGTTTATTTTCTTTTTTTGGTTTTTTTTATATTGTCTTTCTTTTTAATAAATAATAATTTTTTTTTCTTGACTGTGTGATATCAAACTTGGAAAGACTTCCACCTTTTGGGATTATACTGCAAATTATTTCCCCAAGTTTCCCTTTATTTAAAAAAACTGTTTCATGTCACGGTGAGTGGAAATCAACACAACAGCAATTACTGTAGAGTTAGTGTCTTCTTCTACCTTTGCTTCTTGACAATTTCCTTGATGTGATCCGACTTTTTAAAAAAAATAAGCACTTTAGAATTGGCTTCTCCTCAACAGCTGTTGTGTACCATCGCATTGGAACCAACTCACACCTGACTCATGGATTTTCAGAGGCAGAAAAACACATGGGAGGAGACTGCCCAAAGTTCTCCTGCACAGCAGCTGGTAGATTTCAACTGTGTGCCTCTGAGATTGCAGCCCAGCTTCGTAATTACCACGAGGTTGCCACAGCTCGCAGTTCTCCTCAGTAAACTCTCTTCGTGATGTTACCGTGAATACATCAAACTTCTAGACTGGTCTAGGGAATGGATACGTTGGTAATGTGGGTCTCCATACTCAATGACAAAAAAGGGCCCAAGCCCACCTTTGGGGTCTTTCTCAAGATCCTGTTCTTTATCTTCTTAGAGACATGCATGGTACATGTATTTTAGGTTTGGTCCCAGGGCATTTTCATCTTATGTTCTGTTGCTGACAGCTCTTTTCTCCTACCACCACTTCTAGCTGACCACTGTTTGTGTCTCTACAGATCACAGACCTTGCTTGGCTTCCTCCACACAGCAGGACTCCGGTACTCTGGGCTACTTAGACTGTTAAATGTGGGGCATTTCCTGGCCCCTTTTCTGGGCTGAGTCCTCTGCCTGGTATCTCTCCCCACCTTGGCCACGGGACAACAGACAGGCTAGGGGAGGCACACTGTGAGCATTGTCCTGGAGCAAGGTGTGGGCAGACAGCCTTACACAGGTTTGTCATTTTAAGAAAAGATCTGAGAAATTCACAGGTCTCGACTAGACTAGAATAGAGGAACTATGGGGAAGAGATTGAAAACCTTTCGTGACATTTAAAATAAGGACTCAATATCAGATGAAATTATAGAATAATATCTATATTCTTTAGTTTTTATTTATGGTGTAGGTACAAAGAAGCGCTGGTGATATAAGTAGCCAACCACGTGATTGCTTACTAAAAGATTTAGAATTCAAACCCACTTAAGAGCTTCAGGACAGAACAATCTGCAGATCTGCTCCTGGAAGGCAAGAACTGAGATAGCTCTACAGGGGAATTCTGTTCTGTGACACAGGTCACTGGGAGTCAAAATCGACCCAATAACACCACTGCAGCTACAGTGGAGAAGGTCCTTATTCTTGGAAAGGAGCACTGATATGTTTAGAGATCAAGGGTCATTCATCCTCATCTTACTTTAAATGCAAAATGTCAGTAACTGAGGATTCCAGATGAATGGGACAGACCCTCACTGTACTTATCTCTCAAATTTTCAGTAGGAGTAAACTTTTTTAAAGAGAAAACTAAAGGGGGAAAATGGTCCAAAAGAAAAATAAAATAATGCCCACACCACAGGATTTTATTGGGTTCAACCCATCAAAGTAAACTACCATGGAGTGCCCCTTCCTTCCCTCCCTAGAAGACCACTCACCTGGCTATACCACAATGGAATGTCTCTCCTTTCCCTCCCTAAAGATCCTCACTATAAAACCTGTCCTAATCCACTTTAGGGTGCAGTATTTCCCTGGTTTGTCCCTCTGCCTGTTTCTCTCTCTGCAGACCAAGGAATCCCGCCTGGGAGACCCCTTAATAAAACTTCTTTAGCTTCTTTAACTTCTCTGGTCCCTTCCTTGAGTCCTTGGCCTTAGGTCCATCCTGGTGCACGAAACCTATCAGCTCACACAGTGTCAAGACATCAAATGTTAACATAACAGAAATGGTCCCCTCTTCTGTCTTGTGTGTATGCTTGCTGACTGAGTGCTTTGAGTGCTTTTGAAGAAGCTCCACAGCTGATGCTACTCTGAAGCCACAGAGTTTGACTGGGTCCCCACCTGGGGGTCCGTGGTGTTGTCATACGGCTTAGTGGCAGTTGGGGGGGATCCTCTAAGGACCCCAACCAGGCCTGGGCTTGATACAGGTATGCCTATTGGTAAGACACACTTTTTTTTTTTGGCTGCGTACACTGTACTTTATTGATGGTACATGACAAGATGGGCTCTCCAAGCCCCTCCCCTTTCTCATGGGGATTTGATGGAAACTTGTGTCAAGGACTTGAGAGTCTCAGTGTGTGGGAGGATCAAGTTGGGGCAAGGACTCCCAGCAGCTGAGGGTCTCTCTCTCTCTTCTAGTGCTACTGCTAGGACTGGTGGTCCAAGGGGCTCTTATTCTTTTGGAGGCCATGTGAACCATAAGGTTGACCACCCAGTTGCTGTAGCCACTGTCATATTAGGAAATTAATTTGACAAAGTGGTTGTACTGAACAATGCCATCCCCAACATCAAAGGTGGAAGAGTGGGTGTCACTATTAAAGTCACAGGAGATAACATGGTCTTCAGTGTATCCCAGGATGCCCTTGAGGGGCCCTTCTGATGTCTGCTTTACTTTCTCGATGTCATCATATTTGGCAACTTTCTCCAGACGGCAGGTCAGATCCACAACTGATACATTGGGGGTGGGGACACGGAAAGCCATGCAGGTAAGTTTCCCATTCAGTTCAGGGATGACCTTGCCCACAGCCTTGGCAGCGCCAGGAGATGCAGGGATGTTCTGGGCAGCTCCACGGCCATCACACCACAGCTTTCCAGAGGGGCCATCCTCAGTCTTCTGGGTGGCAGTGATGGCAGGGACTGTGATCATGAGTCCCTCTAAAATGCCGAAGTTGTCATGGATGACCTTGGCCAGGGGAGCCAAGCAGTTGGTGGTGGAGGAGGCATTGCTGACAATCTTTTTTTTTTCCTATATTTTATTAATTTTCATAAACATTTACAGAGATTTTGGGTTTCCATTCATTCATTGTTGCACTATTCTCTCTACCCTCCTCCCAGTTTGTTCTTGTCCAAATGCCACAGTGCTTGTCAAAGCTAGTTCTGATTAATCTTCTTTGTCAGTGTGTCCTTTGCCATTCCCTATCACTCCTCCCTGAGAGAGACTTCACCCTGAGTCATAAGGAAAAGGGGATGGCGTATTCTCTTAGCTACTTCCTGCTGAAAAGGGACGCTGTGGGTTTCAGGGTGAAGATCTTCTCTCACTACTCTAAAGGGCCCCTTTGGCAGTAGGAAACACATAGACTATTATGGAGATTGAGTTTGGAATTTAGATGCACTCTTATTGATTGCTGACAATCTTGAGAGAGCTGTCAT